GAAAGAAGCTATTACCGGTAGTTAAAGTTGCGTGGTATCCTTATAGACAAGGATGTTTCCATATACAAGTAGTTCTTGACTCACAACAGTTCATTTAGTGACTCAAGTTACAACGGCGCTGGAAAAAAGTGACTCTTGACCGTTTTTCACACTTACGACCGTTGCAGCATCCTCATGATCACGTGATCAAAATTCATATCAAAATTCAGATGTTTGGGAACTGACTTCTACTTATGATGGTTGCAGTGCCTTGGGGCCATGTGTTCAGATTCTGTGACCTTCTTACAAGTCAAGTACGACCAGATTCACTTAACAACCGTGTGACTAACTTAACAACTGTAGTGGTTCACTTAACAACTGTGTCAAGAAAGGTCGTAAAACGGGACAAAATTCACTTAACAAATGTTTCACTTAGCAACAGAAATTTTGGACTCAATTGTGGTTGTAAGTCGAGGACTACCTGAATATTCCATAAGATCTTGGTTCTAGACTGAGTCATTGCTTGATAATGTAGCCCAACAGGAAGTAATGTGTTTAATCATTTTAATGCTTCTACCAAGTGAATATGGGAAAACAGTGACTCATCTAATGCAGTAACAATTGGGATCTATTTTGGTAGCAGAGAAGAAAGAGCTCATGGGGCACAGAGACTGTCATTTTGCTGTAGACCTATTCTTAAGATCGGATATGACCTCAAAAATATCTACATATGTCTCCTATGTGGCATCTCTCCATTGCTTTGACAAACATACAATCTCTATTTACATACAATCTCTATTTACAACAAATAACCTGTAAAGATGCTCAAAAACATGCCTACTTATGTTGAGAAGCAATTATCTGTAAATTCTGCCACTCACTTGCCCTTTTTATTACTCATTCTATAGACATATTTTGTCTTTGCAATGTTGAGAGGATCTCAAATTCCAGATGAAGGGAACTGGTCAAGCTAGAAGTCCAGGCTTTTCCTTTTTATTTCCTTGGCAACAGTAACCATGGTTACCTGCATCTGTTTGAAGATGTAAGGGGCAAGCAAGTTCAATAGCAGCAACCGAACCCATGAGTTAATATAATTATTTTATACTCTGTTCTTTTGTTCATTCACAACATTGTTTGGAAGCAATCTGATTTTTAAAAGGATAAGATGAAATTAAGCGAGGAACAAGTTTTTGAAGGAAAAATACAAATGAGCAGAGAAGTCCTCAACGTACAGCCATTTGTCTAGCAACCTTTTGAAGTTACAAGAGTACTGAAAGTCCTCACCCTTATGACCACCACAGGTCAAAATTCAGATGCTTGGCAACCGGCATGTATTTACAACAATTGCTATTGATGGTTAAAATGATTGTTGGTTAAGATGATTCATTTAACAACGGCAGTGATGTGCTTAACAACTGCTTAAAAATTGTAGCCAAAAGAGTCATAAAACTGGGTGTGACAAGTGGTCAGGTAGTCCTCACTATACAATGACAATTGAGCCCAAAATTTCTGTTGCTAAACAAGGCAGTTGTTAAGTGAGTTTCGCCCCATTTTATGATCTTTTGCCAGTTGTTAAATAACTCATTGCAATTGTGAAGCGAATCGTGAGGTCATTAACTGAATCTGGCTTCCCCCATTAACTTTGCTCGTGGGAAGCCGGCTGGGAAGGTTACTGATGGTGATCGGATGACCCTGGGACAGTGCGACCGTCACAAATACGGGCCAGTTAGCAAGAGGCTGAATTTTGATCACGTGACCATGGGGATGCTGCAACAGTTGTAAGTGTGGAAAAGGTCATAGGTCACTTTCTTCAGTGCCATTGTAACTTCAGTTGCTAAATGATTGGTTGTAAGTTGAGGATTACTTCATTTCCAATTAACGAAGATGATCAGGGGACTGGAGGCTAAAGCATATAAGGAACAGTTGCTGGAATTGGGTATGTCTAGTTTAATGAAGAGAAGGTTAAGGGGGGACATGATAGCAGTATTTCAATATCTCAGGGGCTGCCACAAAGAAGAGGGAGTCAAGCTATTTTTCAAAGTGCCTGAAGGCAGGACAAGAAGCAATGGATGGAAACTAATCAAGGAGAGAAGCAACCTAGAAGTAAAGAGAAACTTCCTGACAGTTAGAACAATTAACCAGTGGAACAGCCTGCCTCCAGAAGTGGTGAATGCTCCAACACTGGAGGTCTTTAAGAAGAAACTGGACAACCATTTGTCCGAAATGGTATAGGGTTTCCTGCCTGAGCAGGGGGTTGGACTAGAAGACCTCCAAGGTCCCTTCCAACATCATCATCATCATCATCATCATCATCATCATCATCATCATCATCATCATCATCATTATTATTATTATTATTATTATTATTATTATTATTATTAATGATAAAGTTCCTTCCCTGGAACCTCCAGTAGATCAGCAACCCCCTGCTCAGGCAGGAAACCCTATACCATTTCGGACAAATGGCTGTCCAGTTTCTTCTTAAAAACTTCCAGTGTTGGCGCGTTCACCGCTTCTGGAGGCAGGTTGTTCCACTGGTTAATTGTTCTAACTGTCAGGAAGTTTCTCCTTAGTTCTAGGTTGCTTCTCTCCTACCTTAGTTTCCATCCGTTGCTTCTTGTCCTGCCTTCAGGCGCTTTGGAAAATAGCTTGACTCCCCCTTCTTTGGGGCAGCCCCTGAGATATTGGAACGCTGCTATCCTGTCCCCCCTCGTCCTTCTCTTCATTAAACTAGACATACCCAATTCCAGCAACCGTTCCTTAAATGTTTTAGCCTCCAGTCCCCTAATCATCTTTGTTGCTCTTCTCTGTACTCTTTCTAGAGTCTCAACATCTTTTTTACATCGTGGTGACCAAAACTGGATGCAGTATTCCAAGTGTGGCCTTATTAAATAAGAGGATTACACATCTACAAATATAGCTATCTACAAATATAATTATAACTCATGATTAAACCTTTGGTTGATGAATGCAAGAAATTGGCTTTCCCGATTTGCCTGCATGCAATCTACGTGTGGTTAAAGGTGCTGCATTTTTAGCAGCCTCTGTCATAACCTACTAAAATTGCTTCAAAAGCTGCAGTGTGGCTCACACTAAGCTGCTTCTCCTCCTCCTTTTCTGAGAAAGGCCACAGCGATCTTAAGCTTTTTCCTTTGTTTTACTTTCTCCCTCTTGGATGGACAGTTTAGTGTCTCAGCTGATGTGACCCAAACTTAGTTCAGTCCAACTTCCCCCTCCTCCATCCATTAGTTCAAGACCTAGAGAGGGGCTATCTAAGAAAGGAAAGAACTGCATCATTTTGGATGAGATGTCACATCTCTTCTTTTTTTTGTCTGGCTCTTCCATTCCACCCCTCTCTCCTCCTGCCCTGTGACTTGCACTCTTTGCTCTCTCACTCATTAACAAATGCTAGCTATAGGTCTGGCAGAGCGTGGGAACAGTCAGTTGTCAGACTTCACAGGACTGGTCCCAGGTTTTCGTCTGTCTGAGCCAGGCTTGCATGCTTCGCTCTTTAGATAATAATAATAATAATAATAATAATAATAATAATAATAATAATAATAATAATAATAATAATAATAATAATAATAATAATAGTAAAGTTGAAAGGGACCTTGAAGGTCATCTAGTCCAACCCCCTGCTCAGGCAGGAAACCCTATACCATTTCGGACAAATGGCTGTCCAGTCTCTTCTTAAAAACTTCCAGTGTTGGAGCATTCACCGCTTCTGGAGGCAGGTTGTTCCACTGGTTAATTGTTCTCACTGTCAGGAAG